AATGTCAAACTATATTTGGGAACTTATCAATCTACCAAAAGAATCAAGATACATTGGATACAAGTGGGTGTTTAGAAGGAAGTATCATAGTGAAGGTACACTAAACACCTACAAGGGTAGATTAGTAACCAATAATTTTAGACAAAAGGAAGGTGTTGATTATTTTGACACACATGCACTAGAAGCAAGCACAACGAAAATTAGAGTTTCTTTTGCATTAACTTCCATGCATGACATTATGGTTCATCAAATGGATGTTATAATAGCACTCCTAAATAAAGATATCGATGAAGAGATTTACATGAAACAATCAGAAGGTTATGTGCTTCTTGGTAATAATAAAAGGTGTGCAAGCTTGTTAAAACCTTGTATGGATTAAACCAAGCACCAAAATGTTTGACTCTATCATTACAAGATTCACCAATTAAGGGGGAGATACACAACTTAGGAGAAGACATTTCAATCATTGTCAAAACACAAATTCAAAGAATTTGTCATCATCAGATTGTGCAGAATACATCGTATATCTAGTTCAGTTTGGTGAAGACAAAGATTATCACAGTAGAAAAAGATCAAAAGTGACATGCACGTCAATGATGAAGTTAATCAAGAAGGTTGAACATAGAAATTCAAGTGAAGATTTGAGAAAATTAAACATAACTAAGGTGCTTAATGCAATTCATACTATACTACTTTAAATTGCTCATAATTTCATCTCTCACTTCATCTTAAAACCTTCTTGCATCATCATGCATGATCATCTAAAAACCTTCTTCATCTAATTCTTGTGACAAGTGTTTGTACATAAAGTTGTGTGAAAATATTATGATATTCCTTTGTCGCTATGTCGATTACACGTTGATCATTAGCAAAGAGATGAATGGAATTTTAGAAATAACTAGATTTCTAACTTCCACATTCAAGATGAATGATCTTGGACTAATTAACACACTTTTGGAGATCAAAGTAAAGCGAAATAGTGAGGGTTATGAACTTAGTCAAACATGTTATATTGAGAAATTACTTGATAAGTTCAAACACTTACATTTCAAGAAAGTGAGTACTCCATTTGATCCTATTGTAAAACTTTAAAATAATGATGGAAGAATTATGGATCAATTGGAATATGTAAGTGCATGCAATGTACTAGACCCGACATAGCATTTACAGTTAGTAAAATGAGTAGATTTTACTAGAAATCTAAATGGTGAGCACTAGAAGGCCATCTTAGGATTTTCAACTACCTTATGAAAACCAAAAATCTAAGTCTCCATTATGGTAGATTTCCTGCCATATTAGAATGATATATCAATGTGAGTTGGATATCGAGTGTTGAATATTATAAATCTGCATTTAGGTGGATATTTACACTAGTCAATGGTGCAATTTCTTGGAAGAGTAAGAAACAAATGTCGCTCACTTTCTTAACCATAGAAGCAGAGTTCGAGGATCTTGCTTCTGCTGGTGAAGAAGTTGAGTGATTGATGAACCTTTTGTTGGAAGTTCCATTGGCTAAAGACTGTGTTTCAAAGGTGTTGATATATTACGGTAGTCAAGCCACTTTACCTAGAGCATACAAAAAGTGTATAACAAAAAGTATAGGCAAGTATGACTTAGACATTCTTTTGTGAAAAAATTGATTAAGGATGTAATCATTTCATTCACATATTTTTAATCGAGCTATAATTTGCTTGATCCATTTACTAAACCACTGGCTAGAGATTTAGTAAAGACTACCTCGAGAGATATGTGATTGAAACTCCTTGAATAAGGGTTCCAACAACGGTAGCAACAACATATAAAGTGAACAAACCTTAACCTAAGATTCATTGGGTAATAACAAGTCGTTAATTTGGATGTTTGTGCAATATTCTGTGATAACGTTGACTATTATATATTGAGGGTTGAATTTTTTTTAAACTCTTAATGAAGTTATATATCGAGGATATATATCTCAAGAAATAAATACAAAATGAACTCCACCTATATAAATTTCGAGATGGTGTCGTCTCAAAGTGAAAGTTGGAGCTTCTCTGATAAAAAATTTCATGAGAACAGGAAAAGCACATGGCCATAAATAGTGTTAGGCGAGAGATGTTGGCGAAGAACCACTAAAGAGTGTGTGTAAGGTAACATCAATTTAATAACAAGGGATAATGGTTCAAAGCATTGCTACCTAGCATTTTGATTACACTTTGTGTTATCCTTACTAAAGTTAAGTTCAAATCGAAAGATACTAAATTGTATTAACATTCTTTGTTTCTCTTTTTCTGAAATTAGTCTTGTCATTATTAGAAAAAATGGGGGATTGTTGTAAACTATTAACAATTAATAATCTTGAGTGTGTTCCGAAATGACAAGAAAATATGAAAGTGAAAGTTAATTTTTTAATTCAGAAAAAGGCAATACTTGTGAAGTGTTGCAGTATGTAGTTTGTATTTTGAATCCAGAAATAACAACACTTCATGATGTGTTGCAGAATACAAAATAGTACAATCTTTAAAAACTGTTGTTCTAGGCGAAATAATAAACATTTGGTAAAAGCATTGTTGTAGGCGAAATAGTGCAACGTTTGAAAAGTGTTGTTGTAGGTGAAATAGTGCAACATTTAGCAAAAATATGGTTGAAAGTGTGTGTTTCATCAAGGGTCGCAACCTTATGAAACAACACCGATTTGGCCTATAAAATGAGCATTTCAGATTTAGAAAAGCACATTAGAAAAGGCTACGTTCTTCACACAAAATTCCGGATTTTATCTTTCCTACATTCGAGTTTTCCCCAAAAAAAAAAAAGAACAGACCCCATTGAAGACGAGAGTGAGGTACAACAAGGCCATTTCTGTCCACCGCCCTTCTCACGGAGCCGTACGTGGACGTTACCGCTCATACAGCTACCATCCGGCAAGCAGTCAACCTCCCTCAAAAATGGAAGTATGGATGAATCGACATCAAATAGAGGTATTAGGTTTTTTTTTCCAGCAATAACAGGAGTCAGGCTTTTTTTACAAAAACATATGGGTCCCCCCCCATCCATGTTGCGCGCCCTTGACATTTATGAGGACTCACTGGCTCCTTCTCCCGTGTACATCACCGCTTATGATAATTCGATAAGGCCAGCAAGAGGCAGGCTGATTGTCGATGTCCAAATAGGCCTGAAAAATGCCAAACCTTTTGGTCCACCTTCCATGTCATAAACATCCTCACTTCATTCAACTTACTACTTGGAAAGCCTTGGTTGCGTGAGGCCAGATCCTCCACATACCATCAATGTTTAAAGTTTCCGTTCTGAGGTTCTATTGTTAAGGTCTCTGCCGAAGTTCAACCGACATTGACCTCAAATTGCGAGAACGTGAGCTTCATGCCTTCTATAGAATTTTGAGGTCAGTTTGTGCCACTAGAGAGTATGGAGATGACTCCTTCCACCCGGTCCTAGACATCAATACTCCTGGGTCTCGCCCTTTTGGTCATACCGTTATCATCCGAAGAAAAGAATACCCGAAGGCTCTTGCCTTG